AGACAAAGTAAAGTTCATAATGTTCTTCTAATGAAAAAAAAAATGGAGCTCTTTAACAGTGTCTTTGGGCTAGAAAGCATTGTTATCAAGTTTCAACAGGAAAGTGCTAAGATTGCATAGCTTGGAGCAATTATTCACGTTCTGAGCATGTCTGTTCCCACAAAGTCCAATTTTTTTTTCTCTACAGCTGAATTAGATATACTTTGCATTGCAAGGATGTGGTAAATGTCAAGAGCAACCTGTTTTGAATATTATTGTAATAAGTATTTTTTCTGTATTGCTGTGATGGCTCGTTTTGTACCAAGAGTCTTTTTTTTAGCAGGAACTTTACTTAGAGTCGTTTTAAATGACGCTGCATTACCAGCGTGGTTAATTTGGATCTTTTGCACACAATTGGACTATTCTAAGTTAGTGATAGCAGTGTTTTAGAAATTCCTTTTATTTTACAACAAAGCAGTTGCTCATATTTTAATTGTAATGTGCATCCTTCTCTAACCCAACCGGTCGCAGCAGATGGCCGCCCCTCCCTGAGAAGTTTCTTCCTGTTAAAGGGGAGTTTTTCCTTCCCACTGTTGAGTGCTTGCTCATAGAGGGTCATATGGTTGTTGGGTTTTTTGTCTGTATGTATTATTGTACGATCTGCCTTGCAATATAAAGCACCTTGAGGCAACTGTTGATGCTGTACAGCTGAATTAATATTGAAGTGAATATTGCATTTATTCATTAGTTTTCTATCATTTTTTTTTCCTTTTTTGGAAAGCAAAGTCATTTCATAATTGCGTTGGATTTCAATTTTAAATCATCTTTAAAAACTGCTTTAAATGCTTTCTGATTAAAGCGTCTGCCACTCCTGTCCTGCTTTTTAAGGTTATGACGCTAAAGAACAGAAAGTGCTGATAATACAAACTCTGCATTTTACTTGTTCTAATGCTTCGTGGTTCCATCTTGCTCTCTCCTCTCAAATAGACTGGGACCTCCTGTTAAAACCAAGTAAGTCATATTTTACACATGTTGCACGCAATGTAGATGAACACAAATATATCCATAGCAAATAGTACAGTACTGTGGACAGTAAAGCCTTGGCAGACCTGGACAAAGTTGGCAGGAAAGATGCCTTTCTTCCCTCTCAGCTCCCCATGCAGCCATCCTTCCTCACTGGCCTTGGTGACATTTTTGACCACATCCCCCTCCTTCACTGTGAGCTCGTCGTCGGAGTTGCTCTCAAAGTCGATTAGCACCAGCACCTCTACAGCGCATCCGTAAATGGGGCAGAAAATTAGATTCTTTGGACAAAGGCTGGTGTAACTTGTCTCACAAGTGATGTGTCCTGACATCTTAAAAAACCAAGACAAACCCCTAAGCAGTGGAGGCTAGAAACAAATATGAGCTTGAATGTGGATTATTACAGTTAAAATGCTTAGTTTTCATTTATCACAGAGAAGTGAAACAACTATTCGTGTTGTCACTATTTTCCTGAATATAAAGAGAACTTTAGAGATTCTTAAAAGAACTGAAAGTGTGGCATTGTTATCTTGGATGTATGTAAAAACAGGTTTTCTCTAATTGTTTAGCAAACACAAATCTCGTAGATACAGTCTGTGCAAGAGCTAGAACGTACACACTCTAGTATCTGTAGAGTAAGGTTTCGTATTTTTGCATGCCTGTACATGTCAGGTACAATACATAAATTCTTGGAGGAGCATTTCAAGCAGATACAAATCCATTAACTTTTGTCAGTACTTTGCAGCTTTTCTTTACCACTGCCACGAATTCCCAGCAAAAAGGCAACTGTTAGTCAAAATACTCAGACATGACGTTGGTTTATTAAGAAAAAACTGATAATGCTGACTCACCCATAGTTGTCCTTCATTCGATCTCCCTTTGATTTGAAGCAGCAAACAAACTCTTTGAGTAGAAGGAGAACTGAAAGAGTGTGGCTGTGTGTGTAACGCTGCTCGATATGGCAACGAAGGACCTTCTTCCTACTTGTCAAACATTAACATTGAGCAACTTTTCCTGCGGCTAGTCATGCTAAATCAACAGCAAAAAGTAGGAGTGGGTCAGACAGTCAAGAGAGAGAGAAGGAGGAGAGAGAAAATAAGGCAGAAGAACAGGTAAGACAGGTTTCTAGTGAAAGAGTAACTCTGATAAGTGAGACTTATGAGAATGACAGCATAATTAATGTGCAGCAAGCAAAACATTTGCCTATGCAAGTTAGACTTTATGAGCCACACAAGTGCATTTTACTTCCAGTCAGCTGTACTGTCATTTGTACTGCCCCACCCAATAATCTCAGGCTTTCCCAGAAGTTGAACCAACTCAACTAAACCATAACCGTAAATGTGTTTGTAGTAATAATTTTGTAGTAATAATAACGTTTTTACCCCATAAGGTTAAGTGGCAGGAGATTTACAGCAAACAAGGGTTACAGCCAAAATATACTGTGATTGCTTTTTATATAATGTAAGTTAGTTGCATTAACAAAGACCCTTATCTTTTCCTTTAACTCAGTTAATAGGTCACTGGCTTTAGTCAACAGACAAGATGAGCTCCATTACTTCCTTAGTTTCCATTTTGAATGTTGCCAAACAAGTCAAGTTATCATTATTTCCAACTTTTAAGATTTCACTTAGACCAGTTACAATAGGGAGTATGAGATGCACACTATCCAAATGTTTAGGGAACGTTTTGGACGAATATCCCACTCTAGCCAAGCCTGGGAGGTATCTGATCAGTCACTATTTAGCAGTGTGACAAAGAGCTCCAATATGCAACCAAATAATACAAAAACACCATGAGCAATAGGAAGAAACTGGGCAGATGGAGTTAGGCTTTGTTTGTAAAGAATGTTGTATTAACCTAATCATTGAATGACAAATATCCAGAGTATTTAAAACATCCTTACTTTATATTTAGTGCCTTAATATTTTTTATTTCACTGTAGTGGTGAAAAATGAATCAATTAGTACAAACTGACAATTTTTACTTGGTGAATCCAGTCACTTTTGACTTCAACCTGCTCTGATACAGTAATTGGTTGATAGGTGTTTGGTTGAATGGGATGTGCACAGGCACACTGTAGCTATAGGCTGTGTTGTTTATTCAACTCCCAGTGACTTACAGGGATTTGATTGCTTTGATTGAAGCAGGTGATTTTGGCCTTTAGTCAACAAAAAAAACAAACCATGGGTTGTAACCAAATCGGCTCCACCCTGATACACTCTTACCAATATTATGAAAGTAAAGTGCAAAGTGTGGTTCACTCATAGCACACAAACATAATATTTTTAGGCCACACCGACATAGGTACTTCTTATTGATTCATGAGCCAGCCTAAGTATGTTTAAGAGCCCCATGGTGTGTGGACCCTGGGAGCACCATCATTTCCATAGACAGTGGTAAATAAAGATAACCTAAAAGACTGTAAAGATGCTTTTTAATTAAAGACACATACAGACAAATGTCAAAGTAATCAGTGTTTCTTTAATTTACAGTCTCTAAGAAAACAAAAACAGTGACCACAACTATTTAAAATATGCAATATTCCCTAAGAAGTCAACCTTAAAATTTTAATCTGTAGGCCTATAACATACGCAAGTAAGACCAGTGCACCCACAGCAAGGTATACTTGTACTTGCATAAATGAGCCTAGAAACAAATAACATTGATATGCACAGAATAAACATTCCTGTTCTGTTTTACAAACTTGGATAGACTCTATACTAAAAATTTTAACTACTTCTCTCATTGCTTTAACAGTTGCACACAGTTAGTATCACTGCTAAAACCTGTTTGGTTAAATAAAAGCTTGCAAACATAAAAATGACAATACAATCTATAGCAGTGAAAACAAATTCTCTGTTACAATCGAAGTCAGAATCCTGCGTGGCCAAGTACAAATACCAAAATTAAAGTCTTTGCAGAAAGAAAATCACTATCGATATTATACACTAAAGTGGTATCCAAAAACAAGCTAAAGCTACTATTCGGATAGTAAAATGTTTCACAAGCTTGTTAAAAGGCTTTTAGCTAGTGCTGTAAAATGGTTGTATGCTTTATAGTGACAGACTGCAGGGCACAATCTATGACCCTGTGCAGTTTGGTCCCATTGTCAGATCAGTGTTATTTCTGCCAAATTGGTGTTTTATGTCATCACCAACAACATACTTATTGCTGAGACATAGCTCAGAAAAACATAACATATAGTCACTGTTTGCAAATTAAATTAGATTTTAATATATTTGCAGTACAATAATTTATCTTGTTGCCTAACTGATTTGATCAAAAATGTGCAGTTCTTTTTTGTGTTAATTCAAAATTGCAAGTTATTTTCTAACCATCCTAACCAAAAAAGTGTAAATATTAATATAATGCTGCGTGAAAGAGATTTTAATTTACCAAAATAAAGCAAAAGCATAAACCTTTAAACTTGACAAGAAACTGCATTTCACTCTTAAACAGCGCTTTTACTAGTCTTGATGTAGGAAATATGGAAGCCCGTTTCCGCCACTAAAAAAAAAAAAG